GGAGAGAGACTTCCTTATGGAAGGTATGGATCAGAGCTCTTGTGGATGTTGAATTTCACATTTAGAATTCGAGATATTTAAAAAAAATATTATTAATTTTTGACAAATTTAAAAAAATTTTGAGCGATTTGACAAAAACAGTATTTGCTTAGGATGTATATGTAGAAATATATTTTGCACATAACATATAACAAAAGAGATCAAAAATATTTGTATTATTTTAAAATTTCCCCCTCTCTTCTCCCTAATTTGGATGAGGTATTCCATACCCAGAAAAGTATCTGTTCCTGCATATTTAATATAAATATTGTCTGTATTTAAATGTATCTGTTTCGGACAGGTTAATGTCAACTCTGACGAAGAATGAAGAACGTAGAGCTGTGTTGCGACAAGCCACAATTGATAATTCTACAAAGCAGTTTCTAGAAATTTGGGATAAACAACATTTCGTGAAGAATTATGATCTGTCTGCTCTAGATGTCCATGGCGATGTTTACACAGATGGTATAAGCTCCACCTTTTATCTCAAACTTTTAATTTCTTTAATGTACATTAACTGTATGCTTTTTTGTAGCTGAATTTCGTTCATTCGCATGGTCTCCAGATAATACCAAGGTTCTGTATATAGCTGAAAAGAAGCTTCCTAAGTCAGAACCATTTTATAAGCAAAAATCATTGGATAAAAAAGATAAGGAGAAGAAAGAGGATGATGAAGTAACGGTGGTATGATTTATTCCTTATTTTTTTAAATAATTACAGAGTTCTATTTGTATGTGTATATCTTATCTTGTTTAATTTTCTTGATGCCAGGGTAACGAATATATATACAAACCACACTGGGGAGAGCAATTAGTAGGTAAACATCAATCTGTTGTTGCTGTCCTCGATACGACGTTGGATACCATTACGATTTTATCTGGAATACCAGATGAACTTTCTCCCGGTCAAGTAATTTGGACGAAAGATCAGGATGTAATCGGTGTTGCTTGGAAGCATGAGCCACTACACCTAGGCCTTACTGCGTGCACCAATAGATATTCTTGGGTATTTTTATTGAAAAACGGAGAATATCGTAAGTAATATTTAAATAATTAATATAGTAGATATGAAATAACAGAAAAGAAATTAATAACTTATTGTGTAAACAGGGAAATTGTCCGATGAAGGATGTGCTGTGCATAGTCCTAGAATCAGTCCCGATGGAAATTATCTTGTGTGGTTGCAGAGAGAAGCAGGTGCTGTCCCACATCATAATGTGCAAAAACTTATGTTGCGAGATTTAAGAGTGGAGGAAGATAATGTAATGTATTAAAAATTAGATTAATTATAAACCAAAAATTATATTAAGGAAAATATATTTAGTATTTTGAGTTTTAAATTATTTTGTTTTATATCTAGAATATCGAGATCGTGGAAGCAGTGCGAATGAGTAAAACAATCAATTCTAACAAACAGTTTTACGGGATATATGGTCGTTTACCTCGTCGTTGTTGGAGTGACGATTCTCAATACTTATTTTTCAGTACAGCTCAAAGAAACAATCTTGTCTCATATATCGTGAATATAAGTAAGATACTACAGTTTTGTTGATTAAACTGATTTAATGCGTTAATATTTTTTGCCACTTAATAGAATAATGAATTGTCTTTGCAGAAACGAAAGATGTTATTGAGATAAAAAACGATAAAAGTAGTCTTAGTATATTGGATGTAAAGGGAGATGTGATTGCATTTTTGAGTACTTCTTTAACGCAACCTTCTAGTCTTATGGTAGGATGTTTTAAGAGTGAAGTGGCAAGTAGTGGCGATATCTCCACAATTGCGATTACAGTTCCAATGAAAATTCATGGTTTCGAAGAAATTATATATGAACAAAATGAATACATTTATGATAACGACGACAGCATAAGTAAGTGGATCGTGTTATCGTTTGCACAATTTCTCTTGGTATCGCAAATGTAGGTAACTTGGGATAGCATATATTTTTGTTAAATTCAATCATGGAATCCATCTATGAGTCTCTAAAGGAAGTTTAAATTTTAACTCATGGATGGATACCACGATTAAATTTAACAAAAATACATGCTCTCTGTCCCAAGTTACCTACACTGTCCCAAGTCATCTACATTTACGGTATAGCTAGTTGAATGTTGCTTCTCCCCTTTTCAGAGCAATTCAACTACATCTATTTCGGTCCAAAAAGTGGTAAAGATCAGTCGGTACCTTTTGTCGTTATACCACATGGAGGACCTCATAGCAATTTTGTTAACGTATTTTCTTTAGAGTGTTCTTTCTTGGCATTAGCAGGTAAAAAATAAATCATATCTTTCTCTTTACATAATATTTAAGAGTTTTTTACTATACTAATTTCGCATAATTCAGGTTTTGCGATAGTGCAAGTAAATTATCGTGGTTCTACGGGAATGGGCAGCGCGACGGTGGAATATCTTCCAGGAAAAGTTGGCAACGTTGATGTAAAGGACTGTATAACTGCTACGAAGGAAGCTATCAAGAGATATCCCTGGCTCGATTCTAAACGCATATGTCTTTGTGGTGGATCTCATGGTGGATTCTTAGCAGCACATTTGAGTGGACAAGCTCCTGTAAGTGTATCAAACAATATATTTTTATACAATAATATATTAATTAGAATATCCACTTAAAAACTATTTTTATTTTAGGATCTATTCAAAGCAGTAATTGCAAAAAATCCGGTGATTGATATCTCCATCATGTTCGGTACATCCGACATCCCAGACTGGTAAAGAAATACTTAATACCTAATAACGATATTCCTCCACGTCCTAATTATTCAATATCCCATATTTGTATTTCAGTCGCAATGCTCTGACTAAGGAAGAGATAATAGCGTATCTTCATAATGTGTAAGCTTAATCGTTATTTCAGATGTATCAATAGTCGCGACTAGTCTAAGCTTGACTGAAATACATAGTCTTCTTTTTGTTTATATACATGTGAATTATTTGTGACAATGGTTTACATGATTTGCCTGGCAAACATGTTTGTATTCGCATCAAGTTTTTTTATTCACACTAACGTGATTTAATTTTTCATTACAGGTGTGCTGTGGAAGCAGGTCTTCTTTGCAACATTGTTACCGGTCCATGGCCCGATAATATTGACATGTTCATAAAAATGAAGACGTGCTCACCCATTATGCATGTCGATAAAGTCAAAGCACCGACCTTGGTCTGCATTGGAACGAAAGATTTGCGAGTACCATCCTCTCAAGGAACGATGTGGTATAATCGTCTTAAATCTAACAATGTGAAAACTAAGTAAGTTGACATTTGTTTGCATGCAAAAATGCAGAAATGTAGAAGATATTAAAATCTTGCATTGTTATTAATTGATTTGACGTCACAGAATGCTCGTGTACGATGACAATCATCAGTTATCAACTGGATCAGCTGAAATAGACCACATCATCAACGATTGTTTGTGGTTATTGGAGCATACGTCTAAAAAATCCGAAGACACAAAATAATTCAGAACGTTCGATTATATGTATGTATATACATAGATCTTTATTATCACAAAATGAATATTTACACAATTTTATTACATACATTTTATAGACTTACATAACATTTAATCTCCAAAAATATATACGCACACATTTAAGATTTGTATACATTTTATAAAATTTGTATGTTTTATATACGTACAAAAATTATTTATATTTATATATATATATATATACATATGTATATAGATATGTATATATGTCGCGTATATTCAAGTAAGACGTAGCATTACTAAAATATGCTACAATACAGTAAGTTCACATACAACTCGTTTCGCGAATGTCTATGAACACAACAGATCCCATCAAATTTTTTTTTTTTTTCGAGATATGTATTATTGCTATATCAAACATTATCGTACTTAATACAAGATCATAACTTAATACAAGAAACTAATACGGATGTAAAATTGATGAGACGTGTAACTTTAAATTTAATTAACATAGTTAAAAAATACTGTACCGTTATTTTGATACGGAATATTTGTAATATTCCATCAACTACTAAGAAGTTATTTTGAGGCCTATTTCTTCGTTGTAATTTTCAATGAACAAAATCCATGCGATATATTATTTCTTCAACATTTATTAGAAAATAATACAAAACGTAGAAATATACAATTCAAGATTCCCATTTTCCTACTGCAATCATAAGTTATGTCAGAAGTGGGAATTGTTATATGATTTCTTTTTCTTACAATACGTTATTGAACACTAATAAAGGCGTATTAAAAACTTAATTTATCTCAGCCTATATGCAACAAAAATATAAACTACGATTTTCTATTTGTGACGTCATAATTCAAGGCTGTAATCAAGAAACGAAAACTTTAAAAGTTTACTATATAGAAGGAAAAATAAATTTAATTGATCTATCTACTAACCATTGCATTTCATATAATCTCACTAATATACAATAAGAAACAATGATTGTGTGGTGTTAATATAACTGCATGTAAATGCGTTTAAATGTACTGCATGCAGTAGCGCAATTGGATGTGGACGGTGAGCAGCAGTGCTCCAATTGTAATTACTTTGGTTAAAATAATTGAAATATATGCATGTAATAATTCATTGATTAATTAAGACTCACATCTTCATCCATTATCAAAGAACAAAGGATAGTTGGTGTTGTGTAGCTTTGCATCCTAGTCATAACTGACTTATCTATAATTTGATTAGCATCCTGAAGCTACACTACATTCAATTCACATTTCCATGAAATCGACTACACAGAATCAAAACTGAGGCATGAAATGTCTGTTAATTTATCAGAGCATTTTCTTTCATAGTAAAATCTAACTCACATTTTGGAAAATAGTGTATGAATGTATGTAGAGAAAAATCGATCTAGTTATGTCACTAGATGCGCGACAACGCAGCGTCTAATTAAAACATTAGACGGTATGTTTAATGCGCTTTCATACTATCAGTTCATACTTGGATTCAATAACTTACGATCTGGCAGGATTACTTTGTTCGGGGAACAACGAGTCATAACTGGGTGGTAGATCTTTGTCAACGACAGGCGAGGACATCGCGACCTCCAACATGGGGGCCGTTGGTACTGCGCGATTGGATCCCTGACCTCCGTCTGCGTCCGGCAAGGAAACCGGCCGCGAGCACACGTTCGGACCGGCGCAATCCGATGACCAGCACAACTTTTGCGATTTCTTGCAGATCCATAGACATAAAATGAAGATGATGAAGCAGAGGATCATGGTGGTGACTGCTCCTACAGTGACTTTTGTGGCAGTATTGTCCTTGGGATACCGATCATTGACCACGCAATTCACCTCATCCGTGCATATACTAAAAGGACAATTGTAGATCTTATCGCATATGTACTCCTTCCGAATACAGTTGTTGTATCCGACCGCTTGGTAGTGCTCGGAATTTGCCTGATCGCACTCTGCAAATAAATTATCAATAAGATAAGATATCACCCATTTGTTACAACAATGACACAACTCAAAAACTTTAAAAAAATAAGTTAAAATAATTACTTTGAATCATTAACATTTTATAATATTAATTTTAAAATTAAATTTTAGTATAATAGCAGATTGCAGAAGAATAAAAGTATATTAATGATGTATCATGACACGAAAATAACTCGCAAACCATGTGGTTTCTTTAAAGAAGATGAAAGCCACAAAAGTATTATAAGTAGATGTTATAAGCTACAAAAGTATATATATATGTATATATGAAAATTTGAAGCAAAAGGGAAGATAATTTTCTGCAAAAACTATGACTTTTTGAGTTGTAGCTTTTAAATGAACAATTATATTTGTTACATTTAATATAAATATATACATTAAAAAGCATACTCATATATGGGGTATAAACTATTGTAAGGTCCAGGGACTGTCCATCTGGTACTCTTTCCTTGGAAATGAATATTTCGGTTTCTATCGTAGCAGAGGCCGATCGAATAGACCACAGTTTCGATCTTTTAACAGGATCATACTCCGAATATATATCATAATTAGGTGACCGGCTATCATTTATGTTACCCAAATTGTCCTCAGGCTCAGGAACCGGAAGGTATGTTGTCTGGCTGCGATCTATCTCTCCACAGAACTTGCTTGTGTAAAAACCATCGCTCCTCTTGAACTAATAAAATGTTTATCAAGAATATCTGATACGAAAACTAATTCTAATTGTATTTAAGCCTGTTTTTTTTCCATACTCCAGGACTGAACTTCTTGCATGATTCATCTCTTTCTCCCCAATGAAAAGAAAAAGAAAAAGGCTACACTGTGCAAGAGAAGTTCAGTTCAGGAGTATGGAACAAGAATAGGCCTTGCATTCACTTACCCGTATGTAATCAACACACCGATCGCCGTCGCGACGAAGAAACATCTTCTGAACAACCGCGAAGAGGCCCTCGTTTTTGCCAGTCCGGAAGACGAAGGTACAATTGCGATTGGCCTTGACGACCCAGTGATCGAACATGTGGTGCGGCATGACGATCGCCGCGGCGCCGTGTTGCATGTCGACCGTGTGCTTCTTGTTCAGGACATGGCATATCTTTTCGTTCTCGAGGCTATCTACGTAAACGTGCAGAAGTGAGGTTAAACGAGAAAGAAAAGGGAACCTTTTACTGAACGATTACTCGCGACTTACATTCGACGTAATGATTGTAATCATAACTGCCGTAACGCGCGCACGAGCACAGGTGCGCGATCGCGATCAGCAGGTAGACGACGCCTGCGTCCCGGGCCATCTTCGGGTCGCGACCACGCAGAGCTGGGTCGCTGGGTGTCACAGGGCCATACAGGTGACAGGACAGGATGCGCGAGGAACGGGGCCAGGTCGCCAGGTCTCGCGGGCATCGACGATGAGGAACACCGCGGCGAGGAGCGCCGAAATTATTTTCGAGGAGCCGGAGCCCAGAGCAGATTGCGTGTGTCGTTACGCGAGATGCGTCTCATACGTCACGCCGTCACCCATCCGTCCCCCCACGGGGGTGACCAAACAAGTCCCGACGAAAGTCGACCGACGCCGCTGCCTGCCTTCGAGCACCTTCGAGAGGACAGACATCGATCGCGCGATCGAGACCTCAACGAGAGAGCCGTGTGAGCCGTGTCCCGCTTCTTGGCGAGCGAAAGAAAGAGAGATAAAAAAATCACTTGATAATCAAATAGAAACGAAAAAAAAATGCTATGCGAAGCGAGTAGAAAAATCCACGTAGACTTCGGCGAGGTAGAAACGGGCGCCACAACTGTCAAGTGGCTGGAGATAATTAACAAAAGTTGCGTTAGTGTCCATCTTCTTGTTTACATATTTAATATATGTTCGTTTCTATCAATGTAGATTAACTATAATAATTTATCTTTATTTTTATTCTTCTCTGGTTTTGAGAATTAGAAAAAGATAAAGAGTAAATTAAACCGAGATTCGAAGTTAATCTACATTGACAGAAATGGACACGAAAGCGATTTTGACCAGGTTCTGATTAAATTAAGAGAACACGCTTAAAAATGATCAAAATATTAATTTTTTAGTTTAAAAAGAGAGCGGATTATTTTCTACACATTTTAAACTGTATAAAATGATTTTTTAATATGTCTAATGTCTAGTTATAAAAAGGAGGTTGGAACATTAATTAACTTAAAAGAGAATGCGTCTAAAAATCACTACAATATTGTCAAAATTTTTAATTGAAAATTAAGTAAATTATTTCGTATATTTTGAGCTATATAAAATAAGTTTTGGACGTGTTTAAATATTCGAAAAGAGAGGTCGAATATAATCCTTTTGAATAATTGGAAGGAATTATAATAATGAAAGAAAAAAAATTGTTTTAAATTTGTATACCTTATTTGCTATTTGCTTGTAAAACATTCAGCTCTGTGTAAAGCACTCATATTGACTGATTAATGGTGTATTACAGATCGAGCAAATTTACGAGGCTCGAAGAGATGCGTCTACCAATCCGCTGGATCACGTGTTTGAATTGTGTAGCTACTCTTGGTCTTTACTTCCTGGCCATGCGTATAAGTGCAAAATATACTATCGACCATTCATACCATTCACCGTAAACGTAGATTACTTTACGATTGTGGATTCAGCTGGTGAACGCGCGGAAATCCAAGTCCGCGGAACGTGCGTTGGTACGGAATTCTTTCCAATTAATGATCGTCGGAAAGAATCTTTACCCTTTCTTTCTTAGTTTCTTTCTTTCTAATCTAATTTAGGGGATCATTAGCGTTTTAGAAAAATTGTGTTGAAGTCCGAAAGTTTAATCAGCGCGCAATCATATCTGAAATAAATTTGATTTAATAAAAATACTTAATATATTATTCGAAACATCTAACTTTGACCGATTAAGGTTTTCTTTATCATATTTTATGTACTCAATACGGTCGTTCTTATAAATCGTAATTGTCTTTGTTGCCACATTTGGACATATCCAACCCAATTCAATTAGTTACAATTTTCATAAAAACGAATTATATTGTAACACATTTTTTTTGTCAAAACGCCATAAGGAATAATATAACGATATTAAGCATTATGTATTTTCTTTATTAATAAAAAAAAGTTACAAGAGAAACATTAGAAAAGGAAAAAACTGAATATACCATTGCATACCTAAAAGTGGCACCGAAGAATTAAAAGAATCTTTTGTATTAAAGTTTTCCGATCTCTGAAAGTTTTTGATGATAAATTCTTTTGGAGTAAAAATGATTGATGGAGCCTATCAGAAGCGTCTCAGAAATTGATCAATTCTGCTATTTAAAAAATTTCTTAATTTTAATATATATATACCGAGCACTCGATTATACCTTCATCAATTTTTGTTTGCTTTTTATTTCATAAAATTGATCAGCTTGGCTTCTAAGAGACTCCATCATTTGTACTTCAAGAGAATACATCATCGAGAATTTTCAAAGTTTAACATAAACTTTACCTAACTACGAAAGATCTTAATCGAGGTGTTCAATTGTCAAAGCGCAACAAACATCAACAGAAGCATTTAAAAAGAGATAATTACGACCTTATATTTCCGATGAAAAGCATATGTCATCCAAGGCTTTTAAATAAATACAGACACGGACAATGTTTAATTTACGTTACGAGTCATTAATTATCCACACGTATTCTGAAATCGACAATGTTTATGATGAACGTTTCCGTCACCGTATGACGTTAATTGTTAATTATTTACGCATGCAGGACCCATGGTCTCCTCGTCCGCCACGAGATTAGTCATGACGTGTCCGAACGAGAATCGTGAGGTGAAGAAACGGATTAGACTCGTCAATGATTCGAAAGCCACGGCGACCTTTATGTTCGACTCTCTTCGAAGGCCGTTTGAAGCAAATTTGCGACACGGACACATCGGACCCTATTCTCGCAAATTTATAACAATTACTTTTGTACCACAGGAAAGCGGGATCTACGCGTGCCATTTTCCGTGCTTAATCCTGAATCACGTAATGGGAAAATTTGAATTTTTAAAAAGAGCGTAATCCTCGTTGCACACGAAATGTGATACTATTTATAATTATCCGATTTTTTAGACTTTAGTAATTCATCAGTTCTGTATTATTTTATTAAAAATAAATATTTTACGTAAAAAGCAAATGGTATGATTTGCTTTATACATTTCGTGTGTCACCTTGTATTTACGTAATATCTTTTTAATCTATTAAAATATTCATGTAACATTCTTTTGACTAAAATATTACGTAATATATTTTTGGCTCACTAAGGCCCAGTTTCACAACTGACGATTAACTCTTAATCGAGGTTCAACTTATTCATATCTCTTTTCAATTCTAAAATTGGAAAAAAATGAGAAATAAGTTGAACCTCGGTTAAGAGTTAACCGTGAGTTGTGAAACTGGGCCTAAGACATATTTATCATTCAGTCGGAAAAAGTTTACTGCGTTTCAGATTCTACGTGTTAAGAAAAATGTTTCATATGCTTACGTGACATATTCATGATGATTCATTTTTACAGAAACCGATTATCATAGAATTATACGGTTACTGTTGCACAGCGTTGCGTAAAACGAGCACACAAACCCGTTTTAATTATCCTACGAGATTAAAAAATGGCTTTGAAGGATACACAAGCGATACTGTTGTTGCCACGCAAAATCTTCCTGTCGTTTCTTCGTCGAAAAATTGTATCGACTTCGGTCAGGCCGACGTAGAGGCAGAAAACGCTGAGCGAAAAATTCCGGAAACCCTGTGTCTTACTAATCACAGCCAGTCCGATGTATTAATTAAATGGGACCAAGGTTATTGTTTATCAAATCAATATACATTATTATTAATGCTTTATTTTACTTACTACTTATCTCTTTACCTTCTTATCTTACCTTTTCAACTTCTTATATTTTTACTTGTACATTTGTTTTAAGAACATAGAAATTAAAATTAAATATTGCTAATATAAGCACATAGACCTATTCTTTTGTCAACAATTAATTAATTAGATAATTTTGTATATAGATGTTGAAGGAATTTTCAATATAACACCCACTATCATGAGAATATCGGCGAGCCAGACGGCTCTGTTTGAAGTCACGTTTAATCCCGACCGAACAAGCAGTTTCTTTGCGAGAGACCTCGTTGGAGATGTTTTTGTCAAGCGGCAAGAAGACCGCTTTGGAAAAGAAACTCTGACATTCCCTGCAATCACAACCGTGCGGCTAATAGGTGCGTATTCTCTTTCTTTATCTGTCTCTTACGTTTACATAACGCCACTCTTACCTAATCCTTTTTTACATAGGTCACTCCTTTCCCGTTTGCTCCGATGGTTGGATTCCTCAGTATGAGATACCTCACGTAGTTAAGATTCCTCCTTGTGTACCCTCATCGCCGACATACGCCACATTTCTAATACGAAGATACGGGCATTTACCGCTGATGTATCGCTTTGTACCGCCAGCATCGAGCCACTTTGTCGTGAAGCCGATGATGGGCATAATTCATCAGTACTTGCATTTAATATTTTATATGATCCTAATTGCTCGAATCTAACGAAGTCTCGTCGCAAAAGCGCGTCGCACGTATCACATAAATAACAATAGTTTACAAAAAATATTTTTTTTTAATTATTTTCATCAGATAAGTATTGTTATTCAAAAGTCTATAAAAGAAAAACACTATATCTAGTTTGAAATAATTTTTTGCTGTAAACTGTAGTGTAATTTATCATGATATATTATCTTTACATTCGTTTTACATGACGTTTATATTTATTTTATTTTTTAAAAAGCATTTGAAACGATTTATATTGGTATTCTGCGTTCAATATTATTTTCAATTTCTGTCCGTCAATGATGCATTGTGATCCTTTTCAGAGATTATCAGATCATTGTAGTCTGCATGTTACCCGGAAACGATGATAAACGCGTTTATATGGAACGTTGGGCGATACGTTTCAATGGAAATATGAAATCGGAATGTTTCATAGATTTTCAGGGATACACGGAATATGCGAATGTCAGTTTTAGTGATCGGAATACCGTGAATTTCGCATCGACGTTTCCAGGCTGTCAAAGTCTGCAGCAGTTTTATATGCGAAACATCACTCGACATGTAATAAGGTAAATCTCTATGATATTAATATTAATTCCGTAAAATACATATTAATATTTAGTAACAAATTGAAACACTGTATAAAGCACCAATAAAAACAATATACATTGTCAAAATTCCTTTAATGTGGTTGCCGTGAATTAATTAAGTTTCAAAGATAAGACTGTATTTTAATTATATCTCT